CAGGCTACAGAGGCTTCTCCGGCCATCTCATTCCTCCGCCATTCAGAATGCAATACGAACTGAACTGCAAGAGGGCAATTACATCTGTTCAGCATAACTGATATTTTGCCGTAAGTCTGTCTTTGCTATCTACTATGTGGCTTTGCAAAGAAAATTCGATAGGAAGTCTCTTTTCTGAGATGCTGACCACGTACCTAAATCAGCCAGCGCAAACAATGCGCAACGTTATTACTGCCAAATCTCTGAATGACGCAAAACCTAGTTAATTCAAATTTATTAAAAAATCAGACTGTCTGGTAATTTAAAACCTAAACGCCAACCACAACTAATAGACATATATTACCTGAAAAAGTGACGCTTAAGTCACATTGACGATTTATTTTGAACGTTGAATAAAATTTTCTTTTTCATACAGCACATAACTGAAATACTAACGTCATCCCTATTATTAGCTATGTACCGAATAAATGGTATCTCATTAAAATCATCAAAAAATAGCTAATTTCAAACAGTCAATAATTTTGCCACATTTTTATTCTGATCGATTCGTTGCCTTATACTTTTTGGAGCTCCGCCGTAAACCGCAAAGCCAACAACGCTAAACCGCATTTTTAAGACGTTTCATTCCATTCGCATATACCATTTTTTTCTGATAAACATTTTGTCGTTTCGGCAATATCAGTCGGACCGGTTGTTGTTTTGTGGCTAGCACATATGAAAGTTGCACGAACAATTTATTTTTGTACTTTCCGCTTTTTGCCAATTGCAGACGCTGAACTGGTGAGTAACTTATATGTGCATACATCTGCATAAAACGTGTTCAGTTTTAGCAGGATTTTTCGGTATTCTGTAAAACGACAAGTTCAAAATTCACTATTCTGTAGCCACTTAACCTTTACATTTTATGTAATGCAAGAAGTATTTTTGGCCACAATCACGGATTCTATAATTTAAACCGATTCTGCAATGACAGTGTAAGATGGATGGGAATCAGCATACTGAGTTGCACCTTAAATCGCACCGCCTTTTGTTTTTAGTCATCTAAGATGACCACTTAAGCACGCAACAACTTCTTGGTATCAAAACGCCTGCAGAGCTTAGGAAAAATAAACAACGTTACCGAGTCAGTGCAAAATGAATATCCCGAATGCATTTCAATGATTTATATGTATAGGGAACCGAATACCTTGTGTAATAATTTTATTAAAAAATATTCAGCCGAATTTAAAATAAATTTAAAAACAGCAAGCACTTAAGGAAAACTCACTTAAAGTAAAGAAATGTCAGCCTTAACGCTTTCCAAGAATGCATTCAATTCGCGTAGGAAACTGTTAACATGTCCAAAGTGCAAATGAGTGCAAGCATAATAGTCATCGGTCCTCATCATATACGATTAAAGTTAGCCCGGTCTTTAGATACCACTGCTCCTTATTACCGCAAGGTTCGGTATGCAACTTCAAACTGCGTAAATTCAATATGTTCGCTTAGCGAAAACAAGACAGCAGAACTAGAGATAGACGTACAATTTTGAAAATATTTTTCATAGATGTTATTCAGAACCAAATGAACCGATATTACGAGCAGAGTCTTTTCTTAATTAATTAAGTACTTTTGCACAAAATGTTTTATTCAGCAAATTAAATTAAGATTCATATTCTCTTTCCTAACATACCCCCAAACAGCGGTCAACTGTCTGACATACTTCACTTCCTCCACATTTTACGGTCATTGGTCATATCTCTGGAAACTCCTAGCAGTATCAATACTTTACGACGTCGCGTCACCTCATCTTTGGTCTTCCCTTTATTTTCTTCTCAGGAGCATCTATGCTTGGATCACATTTCCAAGGTTCTCAGCGTAGTACATCTTCTTTTCACAAGGAAGAACTAGCTGACCCTACTTTCAATCAAACCTTCTGAAATTGGAGCTACACCTAAAATGCTTCTTGTGAAAGTATTCCGCATGTGATCTTTCTCGATAAATCATATATCATCTCAGAATTCACCTTTCTACAGAATTC